GAGATCATATACATGCAAACGAAATCTACTCATTCTTGTAATCCGAATTTTTTTACAACTGAAGAGCTTGCTGTTCACACCTGCGGTGGGAAGGTTATCAACAGGTGCTCTACTTCAGTTTAGAATTGAAATAGTTTGAATTTAAATAGTTTTTTTAGGACTGACAACCCCTGAAATTATATTTGTAATAAATAACACATGGTTGAGTTGAAATATCAAAAGGGACACTTAAGTGTTTTTTAAGGGAATAATTAACCATGGGCGGCTGAAGCGATTTAGAAGCATAAGCCGATCAAAATGGTTTGTAAGGTTTGCGATGGAGATTGCTACAATGTCATAAAACCTGTAGAACCTTCAGAAGTGCATGTAATCCTTTACATGCGGGTAACACAAAGCATGGGCACACCAATCTCATCATCATCTTTTCCTTCACGACTTACTCTTTGACCTTTTCTATCGTTATTTGGCCATCGTGTCTGATGAATATGATTCGATCTTATCGTCATTACAGACCATGCTTGGCTGACTTCCAAGGACTCTGAAGCTTCTCCATAGTATTGGTTGGACGGCAATGCAATATGAGACGGTAGAAGGTTTTGTCTGCAGTTGGCTTTTAAACCCCTGACGGAGTTAACTAAATAATTTCATTTGGACTCATGTCAACTGTAACGTTGTCGAAACCAAATAAATGACTAGAAGATGACAGATTGTAAAGTTTAAAGAGTGTTGCATTATGGGGACTTATTGGCTAACTCGTCATACCGAACATTGTCTCCATTCCAAAGTTAGTTGCAAGAGTATCACCGGCTATCCTTTGGCGGCTAGTTAAGTATTATCCCCATGCTTCGAAGGCATTCATTAATTCAAATTCATAAAGCCAGGCATGAGCCTATTTAACTTTACAACGACTTATTCGTTAAACGGTTTCCTTGCAGGGCTAAGTCCTAATCACAACAGTGTTTTGTTTGGTCGACGCAATTCGAGGGATTCAAGGGGAAAATTATATTTTAAGAACAACCAAGGCTGTTGCATCAATTAGGAAATCGTCTCATCTTCGTTGTTCTGTGGGTGTTCCTACATGTAGTTGTCACATTTTCGTGATGTCATCACTATTTGAAGTAGAGCAAATAATTTGAAAATAATGACTAGGGCATAAAAACGGGACTCTGAGCAAGTGTGAACCTTAATAGCGAAGGGTAATTTCCGGGGCATATTGGATTGACCTGAAGGTTTACCAAAGCACTCCTGCAGGGGTGTGTACTAACATTGATGATAGCACATTCGTTACTAGGCCATTGAAATGATCCTTTTGGTGGTTGATTCACTGCAAAGTATCCATTCATTTCAGTTCGGATGCTTAATCCGGTCCAACCTCTGTTCAACTGTGTTGAGTTTGGGATTGTCAAAACCTCAAGTGCCTTCATAATTAGATTTCGGTTTAAAATATATATTTTAGAAGAGCTTGATCTTGAGGGGCATTCCACGTCCCCCTCACTCTCCACCACCACCACCACCACCACCACCGATGAGGAAGATGTTGATTATGGCGATAAAAAGGAGGAAGAGAAGGTGGCTAACGTTGGAATGGAGAAATTTCCTCCCAGTCCCATAGGCGAAGAAGACAATCCAGGCGGCGTGGCAATCATTTCAGATAGCGATGAGGAGGGTTTGGACTCTACTCTTGCTGAAGACGATGAAGATGATGACGATGACGTTGATATTGACGACGAAGAAGTTGAGGAAGAGAAGGGAGCAGTGGAACAAGAGTCAATGGAAGGGACTGACAAGCACAGCGAGCAGTTTAAGTCGTCTGTTCCAGTGACGGTGGAAACGGATCTACAAGAGGAGATGAGACAGTATTTGCCACCTCCATGTCCTCTGGAATATGCAGAAAATCCACTGCTTCATATGTCGCCTCAGGTAAGTCTTCATCTGAGAGCATCAATTTTCCAGCTTTACGCTTTTAGTGCCAGTGTAAAAGCAAGAGATGGATTTTTCTGCATCTAATGGCGTAAATTATTAAACAATCTCGAAAGGGCAATTTGAAAATTCCGTGTTATAGTTCATGTCAGCAGATAAAAAGGCCCCATTATCAGTACGAAGTTAATCTGGCGAGATTAGTGCTCTCTCATTTAATTAAACCCTGAAATATCTTGCATTTTATGCCAAATAACTTTCAACCAAACATTAAATTACAGGGCAAAGGGATGCTCCTTCGCTACTATCGAAGGCTTGCGATTTAAATGATTGACATTTTTTTCCACTCGTTTCCGCTCGTTTTAAAAGTTAATTTTCTTTAACCGTACAACCCAATCAGGATCTTGATTTTGATTTAATCAGGCCTGAAATTGAAGGGTTGTAGTAATTACTAAGTCACTTCCGCAGTTTTAAGAGCTCATGTGTGTAATCCACACTTTTAACAAACAGAAGGTATTGTCGGGTGTAGTTCTGAATTACACTGCAACTCCAAGACAAGAGTTGTCTGAATAATTGAGCAGTGAAACCAGCACAACCCACTCAAAAAAAAACGTAACTCTTATAACTTGTATGCGTTTTCAAGAAAGCTCACAATAGGTCTGCAAAAGATTAACGATACCATAGTAGATGACGGAGCTGTGAAAAGCGGAACACACTTCCACACGGTTCCGTGTCTAAGCTAGACCACTCTCGTTCCGCTGCGTCTT